TTATTGTAATCGTCAAATACAATGTGATATTTGACAATATAATCAAAATATTAGAAATACTGTACTTATAGTAACGAACATAATGCGCAATAGTTAACGATCTCAAGTAATAATAATTTCAGATAGATAAAATCAATTAAATAAAACATTCATCTATAGGCTTTCATAATGTACTCCGAAAATTGTGAATAATTGCACTATTTAGAATAAAAATATGACTGTTTTCAATAAACTTGTGGTTTCGCCATTGTTATAATCATAGTATATCATCAAACCTACTAAAAATTGTAATGTAATTGGGTTAATATTTATGTACATAGTTCATTTTTAAAAATTTACATGAAAGAATATTTAAAAATCCTTTAAAAATTGTTTTGTTTAAACCTCACTGTATATTTAGAATCAAAATTAACTTTTCACGTTGTTAGTACGTTGCAGTTGGAAAATTTTGAGTAAGATTCAATATGTGTACTTTAATTTTAAAATGTATTCAATTTGTTATTTTGTTGATGACCAAAGAATAAGCAAAACATAATCATAGTTTAGAATAAATAACAATTTTAATTAATTATTTTTCTAATTTTAAACGCGATACGGTTGTTTGTCGAGTTGCATAATAATAGAATTAAAATTTTGGATCTAATTAGAATTGTTTTCTATTTATTACAAATCACCAGAACAACAATAATTCCTAGAACAATAATAAGTTATTTAAAATCAAATTTTTCTTATCGTTTATCATTTAAAATGAAAATATTTCTATTTTTTCTTGCATAATTTTGAAACAGTTTCAATCAAACGAAAGAAGAATGCTTACATTTACAAAATGCTTATATTTTCCCTTTTTTTTTATACATGCCATGTGTACATGAAGTCGAAACTCAGAAAAAATCCATACCATATCAAGATCACTTTGCATAATCATAGTCGACATGTGAAATCACTTATGTCATTATCTTATGCGAACATCTTCAACCAATTCAACAATAAAAGAAAATGACAAAAAAAAAATTAAAAAAAAAAGGAAAACCCCTTTAATTTTTATAAAATCTTGAAAACAAATTCATAAAAAAAAGTGTAATACTAAGCCTAGAGGACGCATAATTTTAATAGTAATAAATTCAAATGAAATGAATTGAACTTCCGTTTCTTAAGGATACACAAATAAATAAACGCATTTATTCACTTGCATGTGTATATGTATGTTTATTCTAGATTTACCATATCACATACCTATGTGAATAATAAATTATTTTTAGTATTCATTTTCTAGGGGGATCTTATAATTCTAATAAACAAATTCTTTTCCGTTATCTTGTATAAAATTTAACTTTGCTTCCAATTTTTGTTTTCTTTTATTTTATTATTATTTTTTTTTTGTACTTTTTTATAATCATAGTTAAAATTTTCATTCACCCTGAAGCACTCACTATTTTTTTAACCTTTTTTTTACTGGGCTAATGATGTTAATGTTGATGAAAGTAATGATCTTCTATAATGATGATGGCGATTATATTTATTTAAAAGAAAAAGAAGACAGGAGAAGAATTGAGAAGAAAACGAGTGAGATAGAAATAAAATGTGTGTGTTTTTTTGTTATTTATTTGTACAATTCGAAAAAATTATCCCTTCGGGGCGCTGAACTCCTTTTTCAGTTTATAGTTTGTTCCTGGTTGTTTTTTTTTTCGTTCGTCTTCGATAATAACGAAAATTGTTTATTGTGAAAGGATATTGTCAAATATAAAAGAAATGATAAGGGCGAAGAATGTTTCGATTTTTATTTTTGAAAAAAATTTTTAAAATATTTGGAAAGAGAAGTAAAAATTAGAGAACAAAACTTATGTATTCTTTTTCACTTTAAACAATATTTTTCTATTAAAATTATATGTGAGTTTATATAACGACACGGTAAAGCTTATAGAACAACACGATTCAACCATAATAAGTCCTAATACATCCCTATGGAGAGGTCTTCTTGTTTGTATGATACATGGTCGTTGGGTTGATGAACAGGCGGCATCCTCTTTCTTACTAAATCTAACAATCCACTTTTTATCATTAATCAATTGTGGTTGATTTTGATAAATATAAGAGGATTAAAATTACAGAAGCAGCAGCATTGCGTAAAAAGAAATTTTGTAATAGATAATCCACTATTCTTTACTTTAATTTAAAGTTAATTCACATTTTTCTATTGAAAAGATAGAGACCAGAAACACAAAACAAATAACAAGATTTTTAATAACAAGTTTTTTTTGTTCAATAAAAATTTTTAAAATATGAAGAAATATCTGTCAAATTATCTACGAAATTTAATAATTTTGAGAAAATTAATAAAAAGCGAAGTTTGTTCTCTCTTGTCACTATTAGGTATGTCAAAAAATTTTCGTTAAATTCGATTCATATTAAATTATTATTTTCTGTTTTGTTTTGGTTTTCAAATTTCGCATGTATTAATTACGTATAGTATACATGTATGCAAAAATACATATGCAAGTAAATTAGAGTGACCATATTTCTTTAAGAAGAAAAAATGATACATAAAAAGTTTCAATATAGCATGCGAACGAATTTTTCTACAAACTATAATATTCAAGAAATATTTATTTTGTTATAAACAATTTTTACAGTAGTACAACATAAATGTAAGCTACGTGAATGTAAACGCAAAAAAAAAATACGACAACTGCGACTAAATATTAAACAACTGAATTACAATAAAATATATACATGGTTAGCCTATTGTAAATAAACGTGGATACGTTTTTCATACGTTTATTTACGTGTGTACATCATGCGAAAATATATTCTAAAACTTTGAACCCGGAACACTTTATATTTTTATTTTCTAAAATTGAAAATATTTTAAAATCTTAAAAATTGAAAACGAGAAAATTTTAAAAGTTAATTTTGTGTTACGGTAAAAGTGAAAATTGGTTGTGTAAAATAATGAGATTATATATTATAAATTTACTTTAGATTTTACTTTGCAATCTGTACTCATTTCATGCTAAATCAATAATTTTTGCTGCAGCGACATATTAAGAGGAAAATTTTCGTTATGCGATGCTATAGCATAATGTAGTAAATGTTCAATAAGAACAAAATCTCTAAGGTAATAAAATAATGAAATAAGTAATTAAATGCAGAGCTTCTTTATTCTTAACTTAGTTTTCAAATGGTACTGGTTGCACCTGAACTATCCATCATATTAAATTTGACATGCTAAATTGAATTACGTTTGAATTTTTAGATTTAAAATGTGAATCTATTTTGAATGAACCGTCAATATGAATTAGTGTGACTCTTTATTAATCCGATTTTAAGTCAGTAACCATATAGCTTTCTCTACACAATCATGTCTGTTTGCTATTACCACCAGAAAGGTGTTAAATCAGATAGATAAAGTATATAATATGCGCATCAAAACCGTAACAATAAAAATTTTTATACAAAAGCTTAATTTAACATACACACATTGCCATGTCTATACCTCCTAGCTTTTAGTTTGAAGGACATTATAACTGTAAAATATATTGGTACTAAATCTTTTTTATTGTACAATACAAAAAGACAATCTAGATTTTTGGTTCGAGAATGAATGCAAAACGCACACATATACTAGAATTCAGAGATAAAATTCACCACATAGACGTTGTCATCTACTGATATTTACTTGTGTTTGTGTGTCACAGTATGAATGCATGTATTAAATTGGAATTGGTGTTATGATTCAGTTTTCAATTTAGCTCGGATGATCGCTACACTTTGCATTTTTGTATCTTGTTTTACTTTTTAGTTAAATTACTGACCTTCAAATGTTTTTTTGTTGTATTTTGTGGTTTTTAGCGTATAATATACGTACATAATGTAGGTATATGGTGATTTTTTTTTCTTCAGCTCATACACACAAAATGTCTTTTAAATAAAATAATAAAGCGTTTTATTTATATAGCAAGATTTTAATCATTTCTTTTTTTCTACTTTTTTTCTACTTGCTTTTTTTTCTTTTATTTATATTTTGATAAATTTTCAAAAATTGACATATTGTCATTTGAATATCATGCAAATTAGATAATAATCATTTTTTATAGTTTTTATAGCTATAGTAATCATTTTTTTTTCCATAGAAAAATTAAAGAATTAAATAGAAGAAATTAAATTAAAAGATTTATTATTAAATTTTTTATTTTTGTGTTTTGCATAGTTTTTAAACACAAATAAAAATTTTTTTTATTCCATTTCTCATAAAATGTTCTGAGGAAGTGAAAAATTGAATAAAAATTTAATTTACATACAAAAAAAAAATTAATTTTAATAACGTCATTTTAAATATAAAAATAATAAAAAAAACCCCATTAACATAATTTATGGTCTCACTTTTTTTTGCAAAAAAAAAATTTCCTGGACATTTTTTTAATTCCTGCTTTTCACTTTTTAATTTTAAAATACTTAAGATTTTTTTTAGATTTTTTTTTGTTAAATAAAACAAATACAATCGTTTCCGATATTTATTTTTCTAATAATTTATTAACTCTTTCGGGTACCACACCCCATTATTATTCACTGATATTCATTGGCTCCATATTAAGTATTCAGTAATGTAAACAATTCTGTCTAAAACGAACTTTTATTTAAAAGTTAATTTATATAATTTGGACACCTTAAATAGGCAAAGGCATATTACATGACGTATATGATCCTCTAGGCAGGCGTATTATCAAAAAATAGAACTATTAAAGTGGTATAAGTGACTAGAGGAAAAGCGATAAACAAATAGTAAGAAATTTTTTGTTAAGACTTTTGGTACCAAGGAACCCTAGAAATACGTTCTAACGCTAGAAGTTCCTGACTCCAAAATATGTAAATTAATTAAGTTTTTCTTTTGTACAATAAAATATTCAAAATTATTTTAATAGATACTTGAATTGCCCCTATCTATAATAACTTCACCGTACACAAAATTTTTAATTTATTTTTTTGTTTCTTTTAATTTTTAGAGTGTCATTATGTTAATGTTTAGAGAAGAAAAATCACCAGAAGATGAAATTAAAGCTTGGCAATTTTGGCATAGTCGGCAGCATTCTGTTAAACAAAGAATATTAGATGCGGGTGAGTAGAAACAATTTTGCTTTTTTTCAATTTAAAAAAACACTTCTTTTATATTTTTAAAAATTAATTTAATATATCACCAATAATCAATATTTATTATTTTACTACAAAGTAATCAGATGAATGGAAATTATTTATCTAAGAATGAAATCAATAAAAAAGAAAAAAATAATTTTATTCGAAAGGAGCTATCTATATTTAAATATTTTAATCATAAAGAATAATTTCCTCCATAATTCAAACAAATCTGTGTATACAATTTTATTAAAAGATAGAAAACATATAGTTTTTCTATGTAAGCAATAAAATGGCCTGTAGGAAAATGATTCGCTCATTTGAAAACCTCCCATAAATTTTATCAAAAAATATTAAAATTTTTATCAAAAATCTTGTACGTATAGAAGAATATAAATCTCTCTTTAATATTTTTTTTTATTCCTTTCGTTTATGAAATTTTATGTATGTATACTTGTATTTTTATGTTCTCATAATACATACTCACATGGATTTATAGCATCAAAAACGATAGATAGATTTTATGGTTAATTATTTTTTTTTCCAAAGACTTATTAAAATCTTTATTTACAGATTTAAAATTATGATAATTAAAGTTTAAGAGGAAAAAAAATTAATAAAATATTTTTATAAGTGTAAATAGAATAACATGCATATAGAATTTTTAGAAGAAATATTTAAATAAATACTTGGGGATGATATGCAATTTAAATTCCTATGTTATGAAAATTAATAAAATTTAGATATTTTTTAAACATTTTTTCGAATTTATGTGATTTTCAAAAAAATTTTCAAATAATTTCTTTAATTTACCAAAAATATTTCGACTGCGTACTGGCCATATTTAAACATTTTTGAATTAAAGTCGGGAAACCCTGACATCAAATTGCAAAAATAATGTGTAGTCCGGAATTGGAATTATCGAATGTGGAATTTCCCTCCCTCATTATTTATTTGTAAATATTTGAACATTTTTAATAGTATTGTCATCATTGAATTTTTTGAGAAAAATGAGGTGATAAGATTCTTCTTTTTATTTTTATTGTGAAAAATAGTTTATCAATTAATTTTTGTGAAGAACCATGACCGGCCATATTTGCAATAATTTTTTATTAAAAAAAAATTAACTGATTTGACCCGTTTCATATATACATAATAGGAAAAAAATCGTACATTTTTCGGTTTTAATATAAATTGGTTGTGGAAATAGAGGACAACCTCAGTGGATTATGCGATTCGAGATAAGAATTTTTAATACTTTTAATTTTTTCATAATAAATCATAGTTAAAAATTAAAAGAAAAATCTCCTTTTTTATTGAATTTTTTTTTTTTTCAAAAAAAAAATGAAAATTTCGTAATCCCACAATATCGTTGATTATAACAACTCTATAAGTCCAGTGTATTTTCTTTTTTCTTAATAATTATTATTACTATCATGATCATATAATAATGAATATCATCATCATCACCATCATCATCATCATCAATTCGATGCGTCTGTATTATCCTCATCATCCTTATCCTAACTTTCATATAAACATCATAATCAATATCAGTGTGCGCATTGTATTTATTTATTAGTTCGTTTTTATATTGACCCGCAGTTTTGTTTTCTGCAATAACGCCAATAAAATACTTAAATGAAATGATGATGGCGGTAATGTTTACAGGTGATTTTTTTTTGCGTTTTTCTTTTATTGGAGGTATAGCTTTTCTTTTTATTATATAAAATTGTTCACATATGTTTTATATTATTAATTATAAATTATATATTTTATTGTACTTGTACTAAAAAAAGAAAATGCTAGTAAAAAGGTAAAAAAATAAAATAAAATTGAAAAGATAATTAAACATGATTGTCAAATGATCGGTGAAAACTGAAAAGTGATTATAAACGATTATTTATTTACCAAATAAAGATATTGTTCTATTAGTTGCTAAGTTAGTAATTCGATAATAAAAATTTAAACAAGAACCTATGTATTACTACGAATTTGATGAAAAACAAGCTATGGAAGAAATTTTAATAAACTTTAAATAAAGTTTGAACGAAATCGTAAAACTTTTGACTGTAAATCTCTTTACTTTTTGCAAAAAGTATTTTGGCGAAACTTTTATCGGAGGAGTAAGCTATCAAAAATACAAACCATAATAGTGCTTCTTATCAAAACAAATATTTTATATCAATAGCAAATTAGTTAAAGTTTTGAATAGATAAGTGTCTTATAACAATAAAATCCAAATTTTTATAAGTTATTTATTCTTCCTCAACAGTAAACCGAACTGAACATAATCTATTAATCCCTCCTACTCTTAATTAAACTCTCATCGGCCTCATTATTAGCTTTATGACATGTTAATAATATCACATTTGGTTATGAATATGAACAACCTCTTTTACGAAAAAATTAGAGGAATTTGATTTGATTTTTTTATCTTTGGAATTAAGCATTTTTGCATTCGAAAAATTGTTCTGCATCCAAAAATAATCGAAAATCTTTTCAGCAAAAGTTCATCTTCCTTACCATTTTCATTTCCCTTAGTAAGCGGCTATTATTTTCTTAAGAGTTTAATTTTTGTAAATAGTAAAAAGACGTCAAACAAACAAAAAAAAAGGCAAAAATAAAAGAAAAATTCAAAAAATTAATTGAAAATCTTTCTGATTTAAAGATTAGAGGGCCAAGTCCTACCATTCTTTCAAATTCAATCATAATATAATAAAAATGTTGTCGATGTATTAATTTTATATCAACAATCGTTTTACACTAATATTTATAATTTTTATGTTATTAATTTTTTCCCCATTTATTTATTTTCCATATACAAACATACATTATAAATTTTAGTATTGATTTTAATAAATAGAATGAAGGTGTAATTTTTTAAAAAATTTCTGATTGTAAGTGCAGTAATTGATTTCGAAAATATTTTGAAATATAAATATTGTATAGCTGTCCTGTTGATTTTCTCATAAATAAGGAAATATATCTATAACATACTTGCATATAGTTAACGAAGTCTAGAACGCAACTCGTATAGATTTATTCCTAGTTTTCGGCTCGTCACTTTTTTGTGACTCTTTGTAATTTTCGTTTTGCGCCTAATTTTTCGATTAAAAAATTGCAAATTCCAATTAACAAATTTTCTTCTCTGTCTCTCTCCCTTTCTCTCTGTCTTTCCCTCTCTTCAACCTTTTTTTCTGCCCTTCTCTGTCTCTCTTTCTTTGCTCCTTTCACTACAATCTCCCTTTTTCTAATTTTGTTTTATAAGAAAAATGGTGTGAAATGAAGTGTAAAGTTTTAATTAACCGATATTAGTTCTGTTCTAATAAGGTTCTTGAAGGCTGAGAAAATAAGGCTGTAAAAATGTCAAATAGATGTAATACCCTCAAGGAACAGAATTTTCCTTATAATTTTTAACTTGTTTTTTTGAGCTATAAAATTAAAACTCATACTCAAGATTCAATAATCCTTTTAAATGGCGTCTTTTAAGTCTCGTGTGGGATATTACAGTTAACGATGAAAAAATTGTGCTGTGCTGTTTGTATTTGCTTTAAGTACAAATTTTTATATGAAAAAGAAGATTTTAACTTTAAGATAAATCAATGAATTGTTTTTTTTTTATTTTATTCTTCATTATTTTTTCTTATAATTTAAAGACATATTAAGTTTTTTTTTTGATTTTATCGCAATATTTTTAAACGATTTAATTATTTTTTTTTGCAGTGGGTATATTTGCACATAATATGTATGTAAATATATACACAGATATATTTCTATAAAATATTTAATTTTATATAGAAAAATTTATGAATTAATATATTAAAAAATAACATGAAAGGTAACAAAGAGGTAGGTACTAAATAGTAGTTAAAATATTTGCAAATATTGCAAAGTATTAATTATTAAAAAATTACTACCCGATCGTTTACATGTACTTTGCTTGTTTAATTCAAAAAATAATGTATAAAAAGTAAAAATTATAACATTATTTTTACCTTATACTACTTCTTTCATTATAAACTTACTTTGTAATTAAATATAGTTTTTATTAATGGATTAAAAAGCGCTTGTTGTTAATAATTACAATAACAGTAAATGTAATTATTATTGTTATTACCTATGCAGGTGTTTCTTACTATTAAAAGATATTTTAAATTATGATTCTTGACTTAAGAATTATAATGTAGAACAATATCTTGCATACATATATTTCAAAGAAATAATTCAGAATTAGTATATCCATAGTAAAAATCAGAGAAAATATTCTCTTCTTATTGAAATTTAATAATTTTATTAAATATGATCATAATATTATTTACAAAAGTTTTTGAAATATTTTAGAAGTTTGAAACTGTCTGATTAAAAAATTAGGGGTTTTAATGTTAAAGTTTTAGTTTTATAGAAATTCGTAGAATTAAGATTAAAAATCAGTTTAATGCTTATGAAATTTTGTATTTTCCCAATTAATAATTGCACACTTTTACTAATTACACACATACTATTGAAAAATTACGGCTATGTATTTTCATATATCAAAAACGATAGAAGAGTGTATGTGACTGTATCACGCAAATCGCAGGTCATTAATTTGAAATTTTAAATTTATAAACAAACCTTATAAAAACCCCTTTCCATATTTTTATTAATTATAACAACTCCAGTTATTTTCACTTAATAATTTTTATCACTTATTTTATTATAAAATGGTTTCACCTAACATTAATAATTTTATTTTATTGCTATTTATAATTACTTAATTTCTTTAATTCGAAATCAATTTACAAATCATTTAACATTTTAATTTTCTCTAATTCATATATCATCCTTTTATATGTTTTAATTTAATTGAAATTATATCCTGTTTAAATTGAGTTATTTTAATTATTACTTTTTTAATGCATTAGGTAATCTAATTTTAAATACTATATATAAATAAGTGCAGATATTTAAGCATGATTATAATTTAATTTAATCATCAAAAG